AATTATTTAACAAAAGATGGTCCTGCAGTCAGATTATGAATCAGAAATAATACGAAAACCAGTTAATAACTACTTGTTGCTGTGCGTCCAATTTGTTAACATATTGATTTTCCTCCCTAGCCTTTTCAAGAAGGGAGTCTGGAACTGCATAATATCTAGGGAATAAAAATATTTATTATTACGTGAAATAAAAGCTTACGTGACAAGTTTAATGCAACAATACCTTTCACGTAAATTCATTTTTTTTCGATTTTTTCCTACGAGGTAATTAAGAGCGATGCTGAAATAGGGTAAGTCAGTGAATTGACTCGATTGATATCCCGGAGAGATATTTAATTAACACCTATTTTGACCTTATAAAATAGGGATATTAAAAAAGCTCGTCTATTGTTAAAATCTGTTATTTCAACTAATCCAAAACACGCACCAGGTGGGATTTGCTATATTCGTAATATACATTCGAAATTTTCATTTTAACCAAGCTGAATGCTATGTGTAGGTTGGATTGCGGCTGCACGTTTGGAGGAGGTAGCGGGAAAACTCGCTCAGGCGCGAACGATCATTTCCAAGGGATGTGAGGAGTGTCCTAAAAACGAGGATGTTTGGTTAGAGGCTGCACGATTAAATAACCCTGACGTAGCAAGAACCATATTGGCAAATGCTGTTCAGCATCTTCCACAGTCTGTCAAGATATGGTTACAAGCTGTAAGATTGGAAACTGACATGAAAGGTCAAAAAAAAGTTTTACGAAGAGGTATGTAGACTTTGATTTCTTAGTGGGTCAAGATTTGACGCTTAACTTATTAATATGATTTCTATTTAGCTTTGGAGTTTGTTCCCAATTCGGTAAAGCTTTGGAAAGCTGCTGTTAACATGGAGGAAAACCCATCAGATGCACGTATTCTTCTGGCGCGCGCTACAGAACTAGTTCCCCTCTCTGTTGATTTATGGCTAGCTTTGGCAAGACTTGAAAGTTACGATAACGCAAAAAAAGTTCTAAATCGTGCACGTACGAATATACCCACATCTCATGAAATTTGGATAGCAGCCGCAAGACTTGAAGAGCAGCAAGGTAATGAAAAGATGACAGATAAGATTATATCTCGCGCTGTTACTGTGCTTTCCGAAAAAGGAAGTGTTCTTGGTCGAGATCAGTGGCTTCAGGAAGCCGAAAAATGCGAAAAGGAAGGTAGTGTTGGTACTTGTCAAGCGATAGTTAAAAACACTATCGGTATGGGTGTAGAGGAACAAGATAGAAAAACCATTTGGATGGAGGATGCAGAAAGTTGCATTTCGCATGGATCGATTGAAACGGCCAGGGCCATATACGCGCAAGCTCTAAAATCTTTCCCTGGGAAAAAGTCGATTTGGAGGAGAGCAGCATTCTTAGAAAAGTCTCACGGCACAAGGTATAAAATACATGGATTGATCAACGCTGGTATTGTTAATTATTAATAATTTTGATTAATACATCACAGGGAATCACTTGAAGAGTTGCTTCAGCGTGCTGTCAGGTTTTGCCCTCAGGCAGAAGTTCTGTGGCTTATGGGTGCTAAAGAAAAGTGGCTGGCGGTTCGTACCTTTTAATCTCAAATGTTGTTTGTTTCCAGTTAACGGAGAGGTTCAATACGTTTTTTTGATGGTGCAGGGTGATGTTGATGGCGCTCGTTTCATCTTAACCGAAGCTTTCAAGGCAAATCCAAATAGCGAACAAATTTGGTTGGCAGCGGTAAAACTCGAAGCAGAAAATGGAGAATATGAACGTGCAAGAATGCTACTACAAAAGGCTAGAGAACAAGCAGGCACCGAAAAAGTTTGGATGAAATCCATTGTTTTGGAACGACAACTCGGTAAAATTGCAGAAGCATTGGCAATGCTAGAAGAAGCCTTGGCCAAATATCCTACATTTGATAAGCTGTGGATGATAAAAGGTCAAATTGAAGATGAAAAAGGAGAACTACCTACGGCACGAGAAACGTACAGTAAAGCCGTCAAGAGTTGCTCGAAATCAGTTCCTCTGTGGATACTAGCCTCTCGTTTAGAAGAAAAAGCTGATCTTTTAATCAAGGCTAGAGCCACGCTTGAAAGGGGTCGTCTATTGAACCCTAAAAATCCAGAATTATGGTACGTTAAAATGAAAACGTAACGGCCCAATTTTTAATGTCCCATTGTTTAATTTTAAAATTTTTATGTAGGTGCGAAGCCGTTCGAGTGGAACTGCGAGGAAACAATACAAGTATGGCAAAGGCTTTATTAGCAAAAGGTATGCATTATCCTATTAATTTGTACAGAAATTAAGAACTCGTAGTACGAGGTGTTGAAATTTTTTTTTTTTTTTTTTTTTTTTTTTTTTTTTTTTTTTTTTTTTTAGCCCTGCAAGAGTGTCCTAATTCAGGTCTCTTGTGGTCCGAGGCAATTTTCATGGAGCCTCGTCCACAACGCAAGACTAAATCGGTGGATGCACTTAAGAAATGTGATAATGATCCCGTCGTCGTCACGACTGTTGCTCGATTGTTCTGGGCTGAGCGTAAAGTAGATAAAGCACGCACTTGGTTTGAGAAGGCGGTGAAGGTCGATCCTGACCGCGGGGACTCTTGGGCGTGGTTTTACAAATTTGCTTGTCAACATGACATGGAGGTAATAATTAATTACGACATACAAGCTTCACCGTTTCATATTAAACGTATTTTAATCTATAATATAACATTCATCATTAGCAAAATCAACAGGATATCATTTCGCGATGCGTGGCGGCCGAGCCGCACCATGGTGAACAATGGCAAGTCGTAGCAAAGGACATGAAAAATGTTGGTAAGAGTATAGAAGAAATTCTCAAATTAGTCGCTGATACTCTCTCCTGAGACATCGATGATGGCGATACTATAATTGTGGACTTTGGACGAAAAACGATATATTTCCACCAATTTTCTACCACGCTACTACATCGACAAAGTAGTGATATTAACGGAAACATAAGGTGGTTCGGTTTTGGTAAAACTTATCATTAGTTCGAAACCAGATTTTCGTTCCTAGAGCGTTAATGATGTTCTGAATCGTGCTATTTAAAGAAAAAAAAAAAAAAGAAAAACCAAAGAAAAGTCAATCACAAGAACGTGTATTTCAAATAAATAATCAATATCTAAATGATACTATACAGCGGTGTGCGATGGTGGGGGAATATTTCTTTCCCATTTTGTGCCATCGGGAGCCGTGGGAACTATCGAAGATAATTTATTATTTTGTAAACGAGAAGAAAATCGCTCAAAGCACCAATAAATATATGATGTTACATTTATATGGGTTGGGGTGACGAAATCTCCAGAGTTCCGCTTCAGCATCTTCTAAAATAGCTTTCAAATGCTTAAAGCTTTTAACGTTTTTGTTTGCTTCAAAACGAGCACGAATTTCTAAAGCTTTAGGTCGCCATAATTCGCGAAGTATATACCAGTCAAGAGAGGTTCTTAAGGCGCGTTTGTACAAGGAGGCAACGTAACGCCTGTGGGCCACCGCAAAACTAACTTGGTTCGACATTAGAAGAAGTGTGAAAAAGGAACTTGTAGGAAACTTATAAATCATGTGACTGCAACTGGTCGAACACACTAGATAGATTCTCGAGCTCGTGTAACTTAAGGAATTCAGATTATATTCCATCCTTATAAACTTGGATATTTTATACATACATACAGTATACTATTATAAATTCAAAAATGAGTAGGATTTAGTTTCTGCAAGATCTTTTTTATTTTTTCTTTTGATAACTTCTTAAAAAAAATTTTTTTTTTTATACACAGATTAACGAAAATCAAACGGTGAATGAACATGTTATTAATATAACCACAACCTCGAAAGTTTTTCTTATTCATTCGTTCATTATATGTCACCTAACAATGCTCTAAAATAATAAAGATTAATTAATTTACTGTATGTGGAACTTATTTTAGGTAAAACTACGAAATATAGAACCGTATTTAAATATAATTATGGTATTGGGGGGGCGCGTATATGTTACTGGAATCTATATGGTTGTCGTTATTATTCATTATCGCTTGTGGGTAGTTTGATGGATTTTGTAATATGTGTTGTTGTAACAGTTGTTGCTGTTGTGACATTTGTTGTTGTAATAGTTGTTGCTCTTGTGACATTTGTTGCCGCTGTTGTAAAATTTGTTGCTGTTGTGACATTTGCTGCTGCTGTTGCTGTAATATTTGATGCTGTTGTGACATTTGCTGCTGCGACATCTGATGTCGTAATATTTGCTGCTGTTGTGACATCTGTTGTTGTAATAATTGCTGTTGCTGTGACATTTGTTGCTGTTGTTGTAATACTTGCTGCTGCTGTTGCATTTGTTGCTGCTGCGATATTTGTTGTGGTGGCATTTGTTGGTATTGCTGTGACGTTTGTGATTGCTGTGATATTGACGGTGGTGGTGGTGGTGGTGTAATCGGTTGTGGCGAGTCATTTTGTTGTCTAAATTTACTCAAATCACGTTTAACAGTACGTGGAGGTAATGGTGGTGGAGTATCCGAGTTATTCACATGAACCCATGAATTGTTGGATCCCATATAATACATTTGATTTGAGTGGTTTCTAGATATTGATGGATTATGAGCTCCCGAAATCATATGTCCTGAATTGTCCTTAACATAACCCACATTCACGGGTGCATTAATCTCAGCGTTAAGTTGTGGCATTTCTCTCAGCTTTTTTCTAACTCGCATTAAGACGTTACCAAGTTCGTTGCGTCCTTTATTACCACCGCCCCCGTCTCCCCAAAAACAATCAAACTCTGTATGTTCTACGAGTTCATAATCACCTGTTGATAACAACAATAATGCCAGTTTCCGATGTTGTTCAAATTTTTGTGTGACAACCCATTCCATCACGAGTATATTGATATTTTGCCAATTTGGGTCAACATATTGTTGATATAGTCGCGCCATATTCAGTGCATCTCTCGCAGTCCTACAATTCCTAATATGTTCGCAAAGCTCTGGATGTTTACTGAATTTTGCTGCCTGAAAAAGGTGTTCGCTTGTGGGCCAACTTTTACAATCAGGCTGCTCTCCCGGCAGTGCAGCCATAATTGGATAGCCTTCTTGAAAGTTTGTAAATTCATAGTATTCCTCATTACGATTGTAAAACCATATTGTGTTGGGAGGTGGTTTTTCGCGTACTGATTTTATTTAAGGCGTTAATGTCTTTTAAAATACAAACCAATCGGCACGTATGTGAACTTTATCATTACCTGGAGGTTTTTGCATTTGATGAGAATTGGAAGGTGAAGCTTCGCGTGCTATTTGAGGGTGTACACTAAATTAATGATGCGCAGTCAACCTTACAATGAATCCTTCTTTAGCTTAAAAAATACCTGAATTTGACATCTGATTGAGGTATGCTTGGTGATCTGGGTAACATACATATTCGACCACTTCGTTGTTGACTGGAAATCCAAGTGAATTTAATTCCGAGTTTAGATTGATCTGACTTATATCGCTTGTTGTTTCGTTTCCGACTGTACACCGAAAAAAAATTTTTTTTCGAGTTTAGATCAAATAGACGCTTGGCAGTTAAATCATTTCATGTTTACCTGAACTCAGGTCAATATGTATGAAGCTATCGTGTGAGCAATTGCTGCATCTGTCCGAGCATCCTTCGATTGGAATCATCGCAGAACAGTCACAACCATCTTCCATACACTTGCCGTATCTGTAATTCGGTTGAACTTCTTGTTGTTGATGTTGCATTTTAGATTTGCGATGTCGAATGCTTCCTGAACGTATGACTCAAAAAATGATGTAAATTGATTTACACAGAAGTATTTATAGAGACGTTCGGATGAATAACGTATTTCACATAGGGGTAAAATTCTCTTGGCTGACTTCCGCAATGGAGAAGAAAAAGTCGGTTATGGCATTTAATAGAAACCATTGTTACAATTTGCCGTTTGTGTAACTCGAGTTCTATCGAATAACCGAATTATCTATTTTTATGCGTTACCTCTTCCTTCCGCGCAACTCTTTTTCCTCATTCGAGTAAATCGTGGCTGTATGCCTATATTTTTTAATTGTAAAAAAGAATATTTTTAGACTGCAGATCATTAATCTAACTTTTATCCATTGATAAATCAATAGCTGTGTTTTCATTATTATCTTGTCTCTATAATTATGTAATCAATTGGATTACTTGATTTAATTTTATCAAAATCATAATGATAATAAATTTCTTTTGTTGATATTTTAATATAGTAAATAAAAATTAATATAATATAAATATTTAGCTAAACCAATTCTTTTATATTTACTTTAAGCTATATATTGTAATTCTCCTCTTAGGAATCAGATAGTGAGAGAACTAATACAAGGAAGTATCAAGTTAAACTTCTAATATAATATACAAAAATTTCTAATTTGAGTAAAAATAAATGATGAAATTTATAAAACTCTTTTCACTGATTCTCTGACCACATACAAAAAAGATGTTTAATAAAGTCTTAATACTTTCATTAAAACAGCTTGAAGTATAACTTCAAGAGTCACTTTTACCTTTTCCTTTTTATTTACAAACCCCTTTACTCAAAAACTTGACCTCAAATGATCAAGAAAAGTCAAGTAACACCTTTTGATATCAATAGTAAGAAAGTTTTCAAAGAAAAAAAAACTGACTATAAAGTACCTGAAAGCCTATCTAACCTTTGAAGCGAGAGGTATATAGAGGTTTTAAATGACAGGATTTATTTTTCCCCTTCCAGTCACTTATAAGCTTCTTAGAGCTATCACTTTCATGGTCTTCTGAAGAATTTTGCCTCAATTTGATCCTAAATTTTGAATAGCACAAATTCTTATCAAAAGTGATTAGCTGACATATAATACATTAGTTTTTGGAATATAAACAAACTTCTATTAATCACATTCATGTATTTTGATGATATCATTAGTAATTGAAAAAAAGGTTCCAGAAACATTTGGCTTCAAAAAAGCTCAAGTCCCTTAATGAAAACTTCCATGGTACCAAAAGACCAAGTAAAGGATAATGTGAATTGTAAACTTCAATCTCTTACCTAAGTTTCTCAAGTGGTGACAAAGCTTTAATGGAAAAAAGTTGAGATTTAAATATTTTTTTTTGAGATATTCCAATCCAGTGCTTACTTAAATAAAAGATCAATTAGATTGACTCGTCTGATACCACAGGTGATAAAAAAGAAGATTTTTTTTGAGGTTCAAGAAGATTATCTCAATCAGGCAAATCCCTTTTGAGAAGAGGTTGTTTTTATTTTTGGATTTTTTTTTGTAGGCCTTCAATTGTCTCCTTTCCTTAATCATTTTTCTCCTTTCTCTTTTTTAATTTAGCAATTCATTGGTTTTTGGCAATCAACAGTAACAAACTGTTGGCAATGATCCTAGTAGATAAAAGTTATTACCAATTTATTAGGGGAGCAAGATATTGTTCCTAAAATCTAACTTAGAGTACTTTGTATGAAGACGAGTTAATTATTTTGTGGAAGTCTGTAAAATATTATAAATTTATTTCAAATTTCAATAAAAACAAGCTATCATGGCATAATTGCAGGTTAAAAAAAAAATTACATGATATCTATATATAATAAAACTATATTTTCAAGAATTGTTTTAAAAAAATAATCTATAATTTGATTAATAATAATATCTATTTAAAGATTGCTACACATTTTTGAAGTTTTAAAAAGTTGTAAATAAAGAATAGAAAAAAATCTTGTCTATATATATTCATCAAAACTTGTTTTATATTTCTGATCTTCATATATTTATATGATATATTTAATAATTATATTTTTATATTTTTAGAATAATATATTTTATCTATCATTAGTAATATTCATTATGTCAAAAGTTCACAAATAAAAATATATTTCTGTCTTCTTCTTATTATATAAAGAAATTGGAAGTTTTTATTTTATTGACAATTAAGACTTATTCTAAAGCAAATTTGCTCTCAAAGAAGAAATAAAAACTCTGTATCATTGAATAAGCAGACTTTAAGAAATCAATTTTATTCTTTATAACAAGTTTGTAAATTTTCAAACAGACCTTTAGAATAAAACTGATTACTATTATTACTTCTATTATATAGAACTAGAGAGAAATAATAATAATTTTTATTAATAAATTTATTCACTAAAGCAACTTTTTCAATTGCAAGATATAGAAACTTTTTCTTTATTAAATAGATCTTTCTTTTATATACTCTTTTAAATCTATTTCTTTATAAAATATTTGATTATTAAAACTATATAGTAGTTATTGTGATGTTCTCTAAATCATTTAAAATATTAGTATAATTTGGTTTCTAAATTACTACTATCTTACTATATATATATTTTTTTTCTTAAATATTTTCATTTTTTTTAAATCTTTTTTTCAAGCTGCTTAAATAGTTTTTACAGATTAAATAATGATTCTAATGACTAATAGCTTTGTAAAACAATTTGTGATTTCTATTTTTTATAGTCATAATACTTTTTTAAAAGATAAGTATCAATGGAAACAGTCAGTACTTTTTTGTTCAAAGTTCTTAATTAGTAAATATCATTGAAAAAAATATTATAAATATATTAATATTCTTTTTATTTTGGTTTTAGTTTTCTTATAAAGTACTTGTCTCATCTAGCATTATACATTAAAATTTTATTACTTATAGTATTTTGGATATTAATCATAATATTTTTTCTGTTTTCTTTGACTTTTATAAAAAATTCATTTGATAAGATTTTTCTTTTATGGTAATTTTTTTATCAGAAAAAACAGTTATAATAAAATATCTTTCTTTATTAGTTTATTTATTTTTATAAAAAAAAACTTGAGAGTTTTATCTATATATTAAGTAAAAAGAAATTATTTTTATAAAGAATTATTTAATAGTCTATATGCAAATAATACTAGAGCAATATAATTATTCCATACCACAGGCAATACACTCTTTCCTATAGATCCCTGACCACCATTTCCAAAGAAGCGTTTCCCCCAAAACTCTATGTTTTGGGAATAGCAAAACTTCAAAACTTTCCTTAAAATCACTTGCTTCGGTTAGCAGTAGTTATACTTTACCCTTTTTGTTTACCTTTCTTTTTCAAAAACCCTCTATCTAAGAAGTTAATGGCAAAAAAGCTTTCTAGGAAAAAGAAACCAGATGAAAAAACACTCTCCCTTCCTTCCCTATGGAGGTCCCAAAGTCTAGGAAGAAGTGTGGGCCAATAAATCCATGTTAGCCTGGGAACTGACATCAATACCACAGGTAGAAATGGCTTCTCTCCCAGCATGCAGTAGTTTTTCTTGGTATTTTGGGGAATTTTGTCTACCTCAGCTTGACCCTGAATTTCCTGTTACACCAGATTTTGAACGGATTGATTGGTTAAAGATTGGGATTGGTTGTTTCATAGTTAGCAAAAATGTAAACAAGGATACACGTAACATGGGACGTGAATGTATTTCCTAAGTTCCATAAGAATCTTAGGTCTATCATAAGTTATTGGCTAGTTATGCAGATGGATAAACATCACATGGACTGTGATTTCCTCTCCCTCATTAACTTCAAAAGTGTCAAGGCTATGGATTGAGTACCTTCAGAGACAAAGTTGGGTGGATGGGTAGTTGTTAGGTATCCCTTTATTTCTTCCCTTATTTTATTTTCTTGTAAATATTTTTAACCTTTTCCTCTTGTTTTTTTCCCCTTTTTCCTTTACTCCTCTTTTTTCACACTGACTGGTCCTTGACCAGTACATGCAATCCTTAGCACTGAATGATGTTGAGTAGCTTAGGCAAGTTCTGGCAGATCAGGCCCCTCTAATGGGTGGAAACAAGTCGATCGGTAAAGATGGGTTACTAAAGAGAGAGATA